AGAGAGAGAGAGAGAGGTAGACACAGAATCGAAAGCAGGCTCCAGGCTCTGAGCTGTCAGCACAGAGCCCAATGTAGGGCTTGAACCTACAAACCACGAATCATGACCCAAGCCTAAGTTGGATGCTCAACTGACTGAGCCACCCAGGTGCCCCTGGATATGGAATCCTTTTACATGCTACCACCCTTGGGCATGTTAACAGGGATGTTACCTTGAAAACAAGACAGATTCACAAAGACACTCACATCACTCTGGTTTTTGGCCGTCTTCAAAGAATGCAGCATCTTGGGATCGTCATGAATGCTGAGGGCTCCAACCATTTTCCCTTTGTTTTTCTCATAGTCTTTCTTGTACATCACCTGTAAAGACATCACACATGCCAGAGCCCACCCATCAGGAAATGTCAGTGAGGGCGCCCTGCCCAGGTGCCCAGGCCACACTCACATCGCTGGCGATCCTGCTGTTGGCTTTGGCTGCCAGCAGGGGAATGGCGTCCACTTTGATGTCAAACTTCTTTGCTTTGCTCTTCTCCCAGTCTTGCTTATAGACATTCTGGACAGAAAAATTTCAGCAGAGATGTGGTAAGAATGAATCTAACACAGATTCATCCAGTAAAAGAAACAGATTGAAAATTTGTATATATAGACTTATTTCACCTACAAATACCATATTTACAAAATGATAGTATAATTATTCATTAATCTGTCATCCAGCTTCTCCCCTATACTCTTTTTAACATTCTGTGAACTTTCTAAAGATTCTGCTACTCTGATGTATAAAGGACAATGTATAATGGCAACCATTTTGAGAAAGTGAAATGCAACATTTATAGGACAGATCTTACAAAACTCTAGAGATTAGCAGGGGCGTAATTCAGAGGATGTTTCTGATGGTAACAGAGAATGTGGGAAATGAAAAAAGGATAGCTAAGTAAGAGCCTTCCGAACATTTAGGCCTTAAAACTCCACTCACACTCTGGAAACAATCTCCATAGTTGTTTAGTTGCTGAACTCCTAATCTGGTTTTTTACAACACCCATCACATCTCCTCTTTGCAGGTACATGCAATGATAGATTTCTGTGCCTTTGGTACTTACGTCACTCAAATTATAGGCATTGACTCTGTGTTGGATAAACTGTGGAGCATCTGCTGGTACGTTGCACTTGAATTTCTCACTTTCATGTTTTGCTTTGTAATTCAGCTGGAAAACAGAAGATATCCAAACAGTTCAGGATCAGAATTTCCTTGAGGGCATATAGAGGACTGTTGATATATATGGCTAAGTACTCCTACGCTTTTCAGAAAAAAAATGCCTCAAAGAGGTAGTCCATCCAATCAAAGTCCATTACAGAACCTTGACCCTCACTCCCTCTTTCAGGATTGGGATGGAATCCAGTTTGCATTGTCATTTTGTAAATGCTATCACAACGTATGTATGGGAAACTCATTGTCTAAAGTTTTAGGCTGTGCCTTCAGGACACGAACACTCAATCTATTAAATTCTGTGATCTTCTACTCAAAGTGTGGTCTACCAACAGCAGCAGCATCACCTACAAGCTTGTTAGAGAGTCAACATATCCCTCCAGACCTACTGAATCAGAATATTTTTGCAGGGTCACTGGGTGATCCACGTGAAAGTGAATGTTTCAGAAGCACTGCTGTTCTTGCCCTGTTCTTCACATGGCTGGACTGTTCTGCTTTAGATCTTCCTTGACCACCCAATTTGAAGTGTCCCCCCACTCACCCCCTCTCACATCACTCTGTTTGAATTCTGTCTCATGACCCCATATTAGTTTTCTTATTACTGCCAGATGTCTTTCTTGTTTCTATGCTTTTTATCTTCTTATAAAGTCTTAGCAAACTCAAGAATGGAGAATGCTTGCCTTGTTACCTACACAGATAGATGCTCTTGTTGTTTTTTTCTTTAAGTTGCCATCAAGTCTTAGTCTGTGTTATTTTGGGTATGTGACACATCCTAATGAGCAAATCCCCCACTGAAAATTGGTGACTTATTGAAGAAATATTCGTTATTTTTATTTTTAACACCATCTTTCCTGAGGCTACAATTCAATCTGGCGGCTTCATTTGCATTTTATTAAACCAATCTTGAAAAATGACACCGTTGGGATGACAGATGAGACCATGAAGATTAAGCAAGAAAATGCTTCTATTGCAAAGAAACACAGCATTCCAGGTCACTCACACTTGCACAAACAGGGCACTTACGTCACTAAGCTGTTTCGTGTTGAGCTGGGCTTGCAGCAGTACAGGAGTATCAGTGACGGCTGTGAATTTAGTCTTATCTGGGTGAACTTTGTATGTATGCTAGAAAAAAAGGTTCTTGAATGAAATTTCGTAATGTATCTTTATATTCTTGTTCATATACATGCTAACATATAAAAAATTTCCAGTCAAACATAGAGTTTATTTCCTAAAAACTTGGTTGATATGTTTTCACGTCTTCTCTCTCTCTCTCTCTCTCTCTCTCTCTCTCCTGAAGTTGCCTCTAAACTGGTCTCCCTGCTGCAATTTAGCAACCAGATTAATCTTCCTCCTATTGAAGCCTTACAATGGCTCTCCATTGCACATGCCTTCACTCTAAATTGTACCCTGGCTGATGAACCCTACTCTACAGAATCCACCCCCAACTTCATCTGTTACCATTTCACCTCTTCCTACTGTCCCTCCCTCCAGTGCACTTCAGCCACCTCATCCTTTCAATTCCTTGTTCTTTGCTTAGACTGTTTTTCCAGTTGCTCTCACCTTGATCTTAGCCTGGCTGCACTTTCCTGCCTTAGATCCTCCTTGAGCACCTGGTCTATGGTGCCCATCCAGTCCCTCTCTCCCACATCATCCTATTTTAATTCTATAGCATCATTCTACATGGGTTGTTTTACCATTGTCTGATATCTTTTTTAAGTTTCTGTGCTCTTTATTTTCTGCCTCTCCCGGTAAAATGCATGCTTCCCAAGAGGCAGCCCATCTTGTCCCCTCTTCTCCCCCAGCACCAAGGACAGTGTCTGACACAAGCTAGCTCCTCATGTAAATTTGGTAAATGAATGAACACCTATGTCTCATAAATCTCCCTATTTTCCCTTACTCCCCAAACCATGTATATATAAACTAGTGGACATAAAGATTTCTAAAACCCATGATATTTTCATAACAAATAGTTTTCTTCACAGTAATTTATGTGCTCTCCAATTCCACCCAAAATTTAAAATTTAACATCTCCTGCTAATCACTAGATGTTAGCATTGAAACTCCTGCTAAAATTACCACTAGATGGCACAAGAATCCCAAACCCAATTTTAAGAATTCAGGGCAGCTGACTTACATCTTTGCACTGGTCTAGCTTCTTAATTGCTTCATATTCTTGCGTTATTGTCTGAGGGAAATAACATTTCCCTTTATCTTCTTCATATTCTGCTTTGTAATTTTTCTAGATTAAGAAAGAATAAAAATGGATCATGGTTATTATTGCCCCCAAATAATATCACTGAGAGGCATGGATATTTGTCTTCAACTTACGTCACTGTTTTGTGCTGAAACTTTCATGCAGTGTATTTGATATGGGTCCTCGAAGCTGCCTACATAATGTCCCAAAACATTCTGTACATATGAATCTTTGTATTTAGCCTGAAAGAGAAAACATATTGACAAATATGTCAATTACATATGTTATTTGTCAAATGGTAAAAAAAGCCCCGAAACCCCAGGGGTAACCATGGCCTTTCGAACCTCACTGAAGTTCTTCAGCAGAGTGTCAAGTTGATATTTGGGGGTCTCACAGTAGTTCATGCTCTTTGCTTTTGTCTTCTCATAGTTTTCTTTGTATAATCTCTGTCAAAGGAAAAAGAAAAACAATGATAAAAAATATGTATCTCATGATATAAAAGCCATTCTCATCATTGCTATACTTAACCAAAAAGGCAAATTTTGTATTTTTTCAGTATTTTCCATGAAGCAAAAAAAGTAGAATGAATATGGTAGAGCCTCAGGTCTTGTATAATCTAGGCTGCTAATAACCATATATATGCTTATATTATTTATCCTAACATTTCTCCACCAGAATAAACCAGAATATACCAATGCTGCTCTCTAAGCAATTTTTTGTCTTAAAATAATTCTTTCCAGGGGCACTTGGGTGGCTCAGTTGGTTAGGCAACTGACTTCAGCTCAGGTCATGATCTCCTGGTTTGTGGGTTCGAGCCTTGCATCGGACTCTGTGCTGATAGCTCAGAGCCTGGAGCCTGCTTCGGATTCTGTGTCTTCCCCCCACCCCCTCTACTCCTCCCCTGCTCACGCTCTGTGACTCTCTGTCTCTCAATAATAAATAAATGTTAAAAAAAAATTTAAATAATTCTTTCCATTTGAATGTGTTTGAAGGAAAATGGATTTTTTAAATAGTGCGAAATTAGGTAAAAGGTAGAAGGTGGACCTTAGATACTCAGGCACAGTCCTACAAAAGTATTCAGTTCAGCACTCGATGAAAATACATTTTATAACACCTTTGGAAGTTGGATTTTCTCATTGAGATCTAATATTTTTCTTTATAGTAATAATGCACAAAAAGATTTTTTTCCATTTTGTTGTAGGTAGCATGTATTTCTACACATTCTCCTTAATTCTCCCAGATAGAAATCCAAAAATATACTCAATAAAAATAAGAATATTTATAAATGATACAGAATAGGGAGTTTTTCCTTTATGCCATGAATTAGAGAGGCAATTTTTGTAAAGAGTTTTATTTTATTTTGGATATTTTAGTCTTTAAAATGAGATCAATATTTTATAAAATTTTTATTTTATAAAATAAAATACTTTGTTCTTGAGGTTATGCTTCATCTAGTTTTCCTACTTTGTCTTTAGCCTGATTTTCTCACTTCTTTCCTTTAATTTTTTCTGTATGTATTTTTGCAAAGCACCTTAGATCAGATCATGACAGAATAAATATGTACTTATGGGTACTGAGATATTAAGCCCATTTCTAGAAAAACAATAAAGAAAGTGCTATTGCTAGTATCTTTTCCCCTTAAGAAAACAGGGCATTAAAGAGATTAAGGAAACATTTACAATATTCACTGGTATCTCAAAGTACAGAATGAAGAGCTTAATCATCTTTTACCACTGGGTTTTCGTGTTTGATTTGTTATCCTGAATCTGAGATTTCACTTGCGCTAACATCCCACCCAAAGTTATATTAAACTGGAAGTACAACCACATCTGAAAATAAGGGTGATTCACAAAGACACTCACATCACTCTGGTTTTTGGCCGTCTTCAAAGAATGCAGCATCTTGGGATCGTCATGAATGCTGAGGGCTCCAATCATTTTCCCTTTGTTTTTCTCATAGTCTTTCTTGTACATCACCTGTAAAGACATCACACATGCCAGAGCCCACCCATCAGGAAATGTCAGTGAGGGCGCCCTGCCCAGGTGCCCAGGCCACACTCACATCGCTGGCGATCCTGCTGTTGGCTTTGGCTGCCAGCAGGGGAATGGCGTCCACTTTGATGTCAAACTTCTTTGCTTTGCTCTTCTCCCAGTCTTGCTTATAGACATTCTGGAAAGAAAAATTTTAACAAAGGAATTGGTAAAAATGACATGCATGTTATCACACTTTAAAGACAAAGGAATATCTCAATACTCTTAGTATGAATGAAATAAATGGATCATTTTCATTGTTCAGAAAATCGTGCATATTTTAGGTATTTCTCCTCAAGCTAAAGCTTCAAATTTTCCAAGATCAAGATTTTCTGCTCTTCATTAGAATCTTTCATCAAATTAACCTAATTCTAGTTACCATACTAATATTTGATCCTAACATGGGTATTTCACAGAGTGGCACAAATATTCTATAGTTAATTTACTTTTTAGGATCTAAAGATAACACTTTAGTTTGATCTCAAAGTCCTTTGAAAAGATTATTTCCTGAATCATTACAATACTCATTGATGCTGGATAATCTTAGCACTTATTTACAGAATTGTTGAAGAAATTGGGATCTCCCCTACAAGGAGAATTTGACTTTTCTATAAAATTAAGTTTTGAAAATGAAAAATAGCAACGGACACCTGGTCTTATGCCTTCTGAATACACTATATCTTAGTGCAAGTTCTCTTACATGTAGAAATAAGCACCATTTGTGCAAAAATAGGGACATTAAACCTCTGAGGAGTAAATAAAATGAAATTATATCTAAAAAATGAGGTCCTGGGTGAAAATTATAGCACAGTTAAATGAATGTGTGTCTAAAAGATCTAACATTATCATTTGCAATTAAACATACATGAGTGATGGCATTTTGAGGGTTGATTAAAACATATTAAGATTGGCTAACTGTATGAAGCTACTAACAATGTTGCTACCCACATTTATAAGGTGAGTTCAAAGATATGTGGGCAGAGGCATAGGAACATGATACAAATGTTAAATATTCTTCCCATTTTTGATGAAATGTTTTTTCAGTGAAGCAATCCAGAAATAAAAACACAGGTTGTCAGGATATCCCATAGCATAGCACACAGGAACTTACATCACTCAGGTTATAGGCATTGACTTTGTGTTGGATGAAGGCAGGAGTATCTGGAGGTATGTGGCACTTGAACTTTTCGTTTTCATGTTTCGCTTTGTAGTTCAGCTGAGAGAGAGAGAGAGAGAGAGAGAGAGAGAGAGAGAAAGGAACAGAGAGACAGGCAATAAGGGATACAATTAGTTCTGAAGAAGAATTGTTCCAAAATACAAAAATTTTGTGTGGTACATTTTCATGAAATAAAATGTAAAATACGTTTTGATAAATAACAACTGACAATGTTGTTAAGATCAAGAGAGAAGTCTAGAGCTAGGGTAGGCCTCCATTGACAACCTGTGTGCTGAACACATGATGGCTGATGTTGGTTACCATGGTAGAACTGTCCTGGAAGGAGGTGGCTCTTTCATATATGCTTCCTCTCCATGCATATCACAATCAGCCCCCAGAATCAGTAGATCCTGAGAGTCACAGCCCTTTCTTTCTTTTTATTGTCAATGCTCATGTATTGGAGAACTTACATCTCCTCACATCCATTACAGTTTGTTAATACTCTTATCTGAAGACTTTATTTCTGGATATAAATCTACTGGGATTACTTTTATTGTTTTGTTTTAACACAAGCTTGGAGGTTCATGCTTAAAACTCATGTGATAAAACTTATCTCAAAGACTCCATTTTCTAAAAACTTATTTGAGAGAGAGAAATCCCCTGTATTGAATATCTGCTCTGGGTCAGGGTATTTACTATGCACATATCTCCTTTTATTTACTCTTCAAAACAACCACAAATTATAAAAGGGAAATATGAGGCAAACTGAAGTTAAACGATTTGCCTGTGATGTCAGGTCATAAATGACAGAGGTACAATTTGAATCCAGTTTTGTCTGACTCAAAAACTCATGGTCTTTTCCAGTGTGGTAAGCTACATTAGTTTCCCTTATAGAACCATTTCGCTATAATTGTTATCCATCCAAGAAGATGCAAGGCAACTAAATAAGGAACTATTTTAGGTGATTACAAATATATACAAGTTAAATTTGCTAAAACTGAAATAGTCTTTTTTTTTTTGTAAATGTGACAAGTCACTGGATTTTATATATGGAGTTGTGAGATGTTATCCCTCATAATTGGATTTCTTGAACATTTAGATGAACTTACATCACTCAGTTGTTTGGAATTGACTTGGGCTTGCACCAGAACGGGAGAGTCCGTGACTTGAGTGAATTTTGTCTTATCTGGATGGACTTTGTAGGTGTGCTGTGGAGGAAAAAAGGAATGGTTTCAGCAGTCAAATCCAAGTTGACCTATAGACCAAGCAAGCAGAAACACTGCCGAAAACAAAAGAAACTTGTAGTTAATAAAACACATTGTTCTTTTCTCATTAGACTGCAGTGTCTTTGAGAGATGCCTTCACACTGTACAAGAAACTTTCTCATTCTTCACATTTCTGATAACTCTTCTTGGGGGAAATGAACTAGAATTAGCTCTTGAAATGTATTGGTGACCACAGGGGAAAACAGTTTACTACCAAATAAGTTTGTTTCTTATAATTTCCTTGCCTGCATGTATTTGAAAAGTGTTAAAATTTTAACTATCTCTTGACCACTGAGGCTATGGAGGTCAGGACGTTCAAAGTTCATGCTACGGACTTACATCTTTACATTGATCTAGTTTCTTGATTGCTTCATATTCTTGAGTTATGGTCTGGGGGAAGAAGCCCTTGCCTCTGTCTTCTTCATATTCTGCTTTGTAGTTTTTCTATGAGGAAAAGACATCAGACATAAGGATGCAACCATTTTATTCATGCCCTAAAGATGTGTTCATTGGAAAGCTAAACAATGGTCTTACAACTTACATCACTGTTTTGAGCTGAGACTTTCATGCAGTGTGTGTGATATGGATCCTCAAAGCTGCCTACATAATGTCCCAAAACATTCTTTACGTAGGAATCTTTGTACTTAGTCTGAAAGACAAAACATATTTCATGTATTGATTGGGGGGAATAATGGATCTTTTCTTAACACAGGAAGTAACCACGGGATTGCTTACGTCACTAGTGAAGTTCTGCAGAACTGTATCAAGTTGAAATTTGGGGGTTTCGCAGTAATTTATGCTCTTTGCCTTAGTCTTTTCATAGTTTTCTTTGTATAGTTTCTGTCAAAGAAAAAAAAATCTGTTAAAATAGATTCCTGTCACTCCTACACTGATTATAACACTTGTATTTCCCAACACTAAACAAAAGAAGCAGAAAAAAGATATCGCCTGTCAACTGTCTTAAAAACGGATAATCAAACATTGGGGTGTTGTGAATAAGTTTCTTCTATTAGTAATTACTGTAAAGCTTAGGCTTTTAACATTCACCAAAAAAAAAAAAAAAAAAAAA